ATGCTCAAAAAAGAGCCACACTCTCTGGCGTTTTCCCGTCTCTCATAAATTTGGATAGGTTTTACAAATAATTTCTTTGGGTCTATCCTTGTCCCGTGTGCTTTCTTTCTAAAGAGAGCAGATCATCATCATCGTTCAGTGCCAGGTCTGAGACAGACATTGGCGATCATGGTTCTCTTTTCATTCCTTTTTCTTTTTAGTAGAGGTTTTATGGCGCTCGCAACTGCATAAAGTTTCTTCCCCTTGATCTCTTGCCCTGTGGGTTCTAATCCAAAACTTTGTTTGTTCTGCAGCTGCCTGACTTCCTGAGAGTATGTCCAATCCATCGCCACCGCCTTCTCCCTACCTCATCTCTGACTGAGACATTATTTATCTCAGATACATGCAATCATCGTGCACTACTCAGGTCAAGGCTAGGATAGTCTTTAGAAAAATGAATCATTGTTTCCCCAGTCATCAAGCTATTCAAATTATCAATGTGGGAGCAACACGTTAACTGCTGTTATGTCGATTCAAGTGTTCCAGAAACTGCATAATAATCAAAATTTGCCTCTTCCCAAATGTATTTTAATCAGTAAGCGTCCTTCTATGCCTGCGTCTTACAGCATTGCATCATTTCGGTTTCTGTTCCGTTAAAAAAACTCTCATCAGCCTATAATGAAAACTTTAATAATTTTACTTCTAACACCAGGCAACCCCTACTTCCTTCAGTCGCATTTATCTCGACTTCTATTCATGATGGATGAGGATGGGGTTTTTTTAAAATCAGAAGCCATGCAAAAGAACAGTGTTTAAGACTATAGTAATAACGCCTTATTATGCCTCCAAGATTAAGGAGCGTTTGATTCCTCAGTGTCTTGACAATACGATACCTTAGAATTACAAAGTTCTATCTGCTCATTACCTACTTTTCAGAATTTTGACGTCAAAGATTTTGAGTTTCACAACATGTCAAGCTCTTTTAATGCAATTCTTTGAATATCTTGATTGAAAACGACTCCAAATAATCCTGCGATTTTGCTAGAGCAGATAGAACATGTGATTTCTGACCTCATGGTCTTAGTAACTCAAAGCAGCCAAAAATCTTAGACAGAACTTTGTTAGTCTAAGGTAGCAAGGTATTCGTAAAGCAAAGACAATTTTGCGCACAAGAACCGTGTTTGGTTGGCGGGTGCTCTGGTGTGGTTTGCTCCTTCTTTCCTATCCTACATCTATTGTCCTTATCTCCTCTTCTTCTTTTTTATGTTAGTTACTCTCTTGTAACACCTCTATTCTTCTGGCGCTCATATGACCTTATGGAGTTGCGAGTGCCGTAAAACCTCTACTAAAACTTAAAAAGCACAAGAACCAACCTGACTCTGCTCTGCTGCGATCTCTCCCGCCCGAAAGTCCAGCTATCTGCGGTGACGAAGACACTCCTTGACAACCAGGCGAGCCACGAGCCACGTCCAGTGTGAGGGTACAGCTCTCTACCAGACGGACTGACCGCTTGACCAGTACCGGCTGATAATATACATGTGGTCAATTCCGCGGTTCAGACTGGCGACTTATCTTGCTTATTGGGAGCGTACGAAGATCCCCCCCCCCCTTTTCTCGTCGACGGATAACTGGCTGATAGGAAACATGAAACGTCTTTCAGAATGCCAAAAGGAGCTGTGACCGACTATTGCACTCTAAAATTGTATTTCTTCATTTTACACCAAAAAAAGTATTTCTTTCTTTCTCTCTTTCTTTCTTTCTTTCTTTCCTATTTATTTATTCATTCACTTATTCATTTAAGGCTATAATTAATGCAAGGGCTTTTTATGATCCCTTCAACACAAATTAAATCTTCTAATGATTTAGAACGTGGGCTTTAACCCTGACTACCAGGGTAAACCCGGGCTGAGAGGGATACAACATCCCTGAAGAAAGACAAAGATATTCAGTTGGGATCAACGACAAACACTCTCCAACAAACTGACTTTAAAAATAAAGTCAAAAGCTACACCTCCTGTCTGTGGGAGATTCATTGGAACAAACAAATAAATAATAAACTACACAATATTAAGCCCAAACTGGGTCCACAAAACCCGTCAGGCCTCTCCAGAAGGGACGAAGTCATTTTTACTCGATTACGGATCGGACACACGTCCCAAACACACAAGTCAAGACTTTGGAGCGACCCGAATGAAGTATTCTAAATGCAAAAAATTTCAAGATCTGTTCTCTGTCATTGATCCCAACAGAATTCTCGATTTTATAAAGGCAAGGCTATTGGCCTTTACGTTAAATTGTGAAAAGTCATTTTGATTTAAAGCAGGTTATCACTTTTAAACTGTTATTTTACCTCAAGTTTTTTACATTTTAAACCTAATCGTTGACCCCAGCCAAGTCGGGCAGTGAACTTTTGTGAATGCAACCAACTTGTGTTTCGCGCGCTCGTATGACCTTATGCAGTTGGGAGCGCCGTAAAACTCTTCCCAAAAAAGATATTTATTACAAATTCTCCCCGCTCCGGAATCGAACTCATGTCGTCTGAGTGCAACTATACCCCAGACATCCGCCGATCAAGCTCTTTGTTTTTGACATCTTTTGTTTCTCTGTTTCGTGTTTCGGTTTTCTCTTTCAAACTCAAGAAAAAAGAAATACTTCTCTACGAAGAATCAAATGGCCGCCCATGAATCTCGGCAACGATCGTACATAACAAGATCACTCCTCTCTTTGAGCCAATTATTAAAGTGTCCTCCAAGTCCGGTGGCGCCCGTGTCGAAAAAGTGCGGAATTTGCGAACAGAGTTACCCTACTTGTGTAATGTTAGTCTACACACACGACTGTAAACTGGAGAGACGAACACACACGACAGCAAGCATTCTAATAATGAGCCCGGGTGTAGTGTCTGACTTTTTATGTAGATCCCCGAAGTGAGTAACATTAACCAAGAGCCCATGGCATACGGGGCGCTTACGTCCCGTGAGTAAAAAAGAATAAGGTACAATACGGTGACTACCGTGACAACTTGTGTGAAAAACAATAAAAGCGAAAGTAACAAACTGTGCTATTCCTATTCTTCGTCTGGAGAAACGAAAGAGAGCTTCTAAACAACAACTGCTGCGCCATCTGAAGCAATGCGCGGACTTCCACGGACACTTTCTTGGACGAGTGAACTATCTTGTTATGAACGATCTTTGATATCGGCGCCCAATGGTATATATCGTCAGTGTTGTTTTCTATATAATACTACATTTGGGATTTCATCATTTGCCATACTCGCCCAGACTGTGGTGTAGAGGTTTGGCATTTTCCCGTCACAGGCAAAAGGCATGAGTTCGATTCACGTGACGAAGTTTTCTTTAAATCGAAATATATATTGTGTCACCCGTTAGTAGAATCAGGTGCTCGCTAATGTAAAAGCAGGTGTCAACCTTTCATTCTAAAAATACATTAGTGTTTGAGCGCTTAACCGGCTGCTTGCACTGTATGCTTTCCGGGAAGCAGAGATTTGAGAATGTTTCTGAGTGTTCTATTGTCTGCTGGGGTAATAATATAGTGGAAAACGAAGAGAGCTTGCTTTCGAGTGGGGATATGCGCTCTACAAATGCTATTTATTATTTATTATTAAAAACGTCTATATGATGTCACAGCGATACAAATATGACCCCACTTAAAGATGAACTCCCTGATTTGCGTGGTAGGTCAAGTAAGTTCAGAATAAAGGGCTAGAGTTGACTTCTAACTAACGTTAGGTTTTCTACGTTCAAAGGTTATTATTAAAGTCGACCAGGGGGATTTACATTCCTTTAACGTCAAATTGCCTGACCTATTTTCGCACTACGAAAACAGGATATAGCTTCATAATACAGGAAAAAGCGACGGAATTAAGTTATCAAATAGATTATCACTTATACCACCCAGGAACACCATCATACATCCCATACGCAGATAGGGAAATTCCCAAACAGGATATCACGTAGAACTCATAGGAAGACCCTCCAACAAAACATATATATATATATATAATATTA